TAACCCGGGAGCCCGCCCTCCCCCCAGTAGCCTCCATGGCCAGGACATGGCAGTGCTTGCAGAGCCCCCAAAGCACCCCCGCAGGGCTCCATCCAGCCCTGTCCCCCCCGCCCGAAGCTCCCACTCACTCCGGATGTTGGCCAGCCGCAGGCCCATGATGGCGCCATTCGAGTCCAGGCTGTTCCTCAGCTGCTGCTCAACGGCGTTGCTGGTGACCGTGTCATTGCCGTGCCCGAACACAAGGGTGGACTGCACCATCACCGAGCCTTGGCTGCCCACGAGAGGAGGCGTTAGTGCCCAGCTCGCCGCCCCCCGCGTGCGGCTCTGCACCATGCAGCCGGGCCACGCCGGCCTCCGCTCACCTGAAAAGGAGCTCGCTGCATCCCTTGTAGGTCTGTCTGTCCATGCAGGTCGCGCAGCCAAAGACGTATTCGAACTGGAACGAAGCACGGGGGGTGATGGCCACCTCCCCAGCAGACACCCCCTCCCTCCTGTCCCCTTGCTGCTCCCCGTCATGGGACCGGCCCGGGGCTGCCAAAGAGGCTGGCAGAGCAGATGCTCCAGGCACTTCCACAGGGAGCCCCGACGGGAGGCAGCTCCTTCCCGGCATGGACCAAGGGGGTCTTTGCTTGCCCAGGGCAGCCCGCGGGCAGGGCTGGGACTCACCATGGTCAAGACAGTGTCGCTCAGGCTCCTGTACTCCTTCGAAGTGGGGTCGCGCAAGCTCTCGTTGAAGCTCCTGTTGATGATGTGGAAGGACAGCAGGACGCGGAGGAGCAGCATGGGAGCCGTGCTGCTCTGAGCGGTGGCAGAGGTTTGCTGCGTGGAGATGACCTGAGGGCTGCTGCTCCCGCTGCCTTTGGTACTGGAGTTGGGGATCGCTGTGCTACCACCCGCGGGGGAGGTGGGAACTGCGGAGCTGCTGGTGGCCGTGTTGGTGCTGAAGGTGGTCCTGGTGGCATTGGCGGGGGAGATGGTAGCGCTGCTAGAGACAGGCACTGAGGTGCTGGTGGTTGTGGCGTTGCTTGCGGGGCTGTTGCTGGACTGGAAGTTTGTAGTGTTGCCTGTAGTGGGGAAGACCATGGGGTGGGAGATTTGGGTCCCATTGCTGCTTGTGGTTTTGGAGATTGTGATGTTCGGAGCAGTGGTCATAGGGGTGGTGGTCCTGTCCGTGGTGGTTGTGTTGATCATGGTTGACTCCGTGGTGGTCCTGCCAGTGGTGGTTGTGTTGGTCATGGTTGACTCTATGGTGGTCTTGTCAGCAGTGGTTGTGTTGGGCATGGTGGTTGTGTTGGTTGGGCTGCTTGTGTTGGTCATGCTGCTTGCGTTGGTTGTTCTGGTTGCATTGGTCATGGTGGTTGCGTCTGTTGCACTGCTTGCGTTGGTTGTTCTGGTTGTATTGGTCATGGTGGTTGCGTTTGTTGCACTGCTTGCAGTGGTTGTTCTGGTTGCATTGGTCATGGTGGTTGCGTTTGTTGTGCTGCTTGCATTGGTCGTGCTGCTTGTGTTGGTCGTGGTTGCTTCTGTGGTGGTTGTCTCAGTGGTGGTTGTTTCTGTGGTGGTTGTCTCTGTGGTGGTCGTCTCGGTTGTCTCCATGGTGGTCTCGGTGGGGGTCATGGCACATGTACCTAGAGAAGACACCAGGAGCTGTCGGCTGGGACTGCAGCACCAGTTCAAGAAGGTTTTACACAACACGGCTCCTCGGCTGGACACCTCCCTGGGCCACGAAGTGCCGAGAAGCACCGCGACCTCCAGGGAGCTGACCACTGGCAGCTCCCATGAGGCCAAGACCTTCAGGAACATCCCACAACTGGGGCTTGTGCTGGGCACACATGACATCACCAAGGGTCCAGGCAGTGCTGCTGGTGGCCCTGGCTCCC